AATCATTAAATAAAAAATTTAAGAAGCAAAATTGAGAAAATTCAAATAATTTGAAACGCACACACTCGTTCATTGAAATGAACACACATTCATAAACCGATAAATATATATGTATATATATCTGCATATATCTTACGGCTTCCGCTCTCGTGCCCTCACTGGTTTGGTTCAAATTACTGGAATTGTGCTGGTTCTGCTCGGGCGGTGGTTTAAATTGAGGTACCTTTTGCATTTGACAGTTTCGTAATTAACTGCACAATTTTTGTTCGAAGCGTTTGCACCATTCGGCAGAGAACAAAACTAAAACAACAAAAATTATCGAAAAGAAAAATGTAGGAGCTCTACAAAATGTCTGATATATTTTTTCAGCTTTCCAGCTTCCTTGCCACTCGTATAATCTTTTTACACTCTTCGAGACCGCACTTCAGCATGGCTTCATTCTAATTGCTTTGTTAGCACTTCCGGTTATCATGTTCGACACGACAACACATTTCCTGGCACGACTCACACATACACACAAGCAGACACAGTGCGGAAGTGCAGCCTCCAGTAATTTTGATTTTTTTATTGCAATTAGGCAATTAGAAATGACCACCGATTCAGTTGGGAGTACTGAACCCCACAGTTCCTTGCGTTTGGCACATTTACGGCACGTGTCACTTATGACACCAAATCCAGATTTAAAATTACAGAATTTTTTTCCTCATCGAATTTGAAATGCAAATGTAAACGAAGTTGACAGGTGTTTCGGTGCTTGTAAACATGCGTGGGTACGCCTGTGTGTATGCTAGAAATTTCGCTTTTGTTCAGTGCGTGTGTGTCTGTAGGGAATGCAGAACTGCGTTGGCGTTGATATTTTTATGGATTGTATTTGACAGCACATTTCACTGGAACAAGGAATAAAAGGACGAAATTAACAATATTTTGAAATGAACTGCAAATGGCAGCTTTTTGGTAAATATGATTAGTAAAAAAATTAATTAATAAATTAATTGGCCGTCGATTCGATTCGATCGATTTGATTATATTTATAATTTTAATATTAATTCAATATATTTTGTTATTTATATTATTTATTTAAAAATTAATGGTTGTAAAACTTTTAATTAAAATATTTGGAATGTGGCAAGATTCTAAGAAGAATCCAGAGAGATTCTATAAGGAATCCAGAGAGATTCTAGAAAGAATCTAGAAAGATTTTGGAAAGAATCTATTCTAGAAAGAAGCTAATAGTGAAGAAATGTAAGAACATAAACTTCCTGGTACGCCAGCTCTTTGGAAGCGAGTACAAGAAACAACGTGTGTGATTTCTTTTGAAAAATGGGAGCACTAATCTTATCCTCCTCAATCCAAATTATTAACAGCATTCATGTAGCACTTCTACATAGAGGGGAGATTTATCTGGCACCTAATGGGTAATAAACTAATAGTACTTACAGCGAGTTCTATACTCAGGACAGTTTTAGTGCAATGGTCGGAAAATTAAACCATTCAACCACTTCAGTATAAGATGATCAAGAAGGAAGAGATGCGCCTATTCAGACGGAGTAAACAAGATGAAGAAAGGCGCAAGCGAGAGTAAATTGAGATGCGTAGAAACAAAAAAACTCTCGGAAGTTTTACCAAAAAGACAACAGAACCTAAGGTCAGAATTTTAACCCTGGACTACCAACTACGAAGTCTTAACACATGCCAAATGCTTACAATTGGCATCTATAGGAAACGAGACACTCACATAACAATTTGTTTGTTAAATAATTATTTAAAATTTATAATTTTACTTTATACATATTTATTTGGTTATGTATATAATTGTATATACCTATATTATATTATAATATGCAAATGACCTACTTTTTTTACTTTTGTTTTGTTTTAAGGGTTAATTTAATTGTTATTTGAGGAACAATTAAAGGAATAACAATATGTGAATAAGTTTAAATTTGGTCGTCTTATATTTACTGAATAATTTTATAATAATTAATTATATTTTTCATATATTACATTTAGTATTGTCACATCTGCTCCCACGAAGAAGGAGACAAGAAATACATTGCCTTTGGTTTGTTTCATAAAGTGGATTTCGAATGTTGAGGATCGAATTAAAATATCTATTTGACTATAAAAATGTTTTAGTGAAATTATAAATTTTCTCACTAAAAACCGACAAACAAAGTAAGAACATAAAATGCACACAAAATCTCACAATATGAAGCCCACTTGTGGCACTCAACTGCGAAAACAAAGGGCAAAACAGGACCAAAACAAACGGAAGCGCACGGTCTGGCAGGAAAGGAAGTGTTGGCTGTGTTTCGCGCACCCGATGGCTTGCGGGCATTTTGAAGCGATTTAATCTCATTGGAAGGCGCCCAGCAGCTGTGCACGACAAAGCTTTCGAATTATTGGAAAATTTAATTTTTCCCATGCGTGTTTGAACAACAACAAAACAATAACAAATTATTAAAATGTGCATTGTATATATTCTACTATATATGGAATAAAAATACACAATATGTTATATGAGAAAGCAAATATGTAAATAAAAAAAAATATTTAAATAAAAACAAAAAAAACAAGCGCGGAAAATGTGCTAACAAAAATGCGCCAAAACGCCCTGATGCACCCTGCTCCTTCTGGCTACTTCTTGTTTTCATGATCTTATAAAATGAGGCGAGTGCGGTTCCACCGCTCCTTTGTATTGATAACTGCCATTTTGTTATAATTTTTTTTGCGATTCCTTCAAAGTTCAATGAAAAAAAGCGTTGCATACATTACGGGTTGCCGCACTATTTGCAGTTTTGCAGTTTAAGCACAAAATGTGTTGTTGTTGTTGTTGTTGTTGGCGAGTGAGTGCCTGTGCTTTTGCACATTTTGTAGTTTTTGTCTTCATTTTTCGCTTCTGCTTTTGCGTTTGTTATTTTGTCATTTTTTATGTTTCCTCCTGTTTTTTTTTTCTTGTACTTTTCATTTTTATGTGGCTTTGGGAACGCGCTCAGCTGTTTGTTGTACCGGAAATGGCGTTAATGTTGCGTCGTTGGCGATTTTCTTGTGTTACCAATGAATAAAACTTAATCTTAGGGATTTAACACTTTCAATATTTCTTTAACATTTTACTTCACAGTTTACGAATTTTTTCCACTGAGTGTTTATGTACAGTTGCGTGTGTTCACTTGCATGCGATTAGTTTCCGTTGTTTATGTGCTTGTGTAAGAGTCTGTTAGTGTGTTGGTGCAAGTGCACTTCGCTGGTGTTGTATACACTTTTATAAAATTTTATGAAGAAAGAAATCTATCGAATCCATTATAGGTTAAGCTGCGCAGCACTGACATGTAATGAGGGCGCTACATAATGTTCAGTGCTTCAGATAGGAACAGCATTTCGGTATGTCACAAATTTTGATTGAAATGCAAAAATAAAAAAGAAAACAGTGTAGAGGTTCAATTAGTTGTGACGTAAGAAATTTCATCATGCGTGCTATCTTATGGAAAATAATACATTCGATTATTTATGCCCAAGTAAAAATAAATAGAGGAAAACTAAAACCAGTTGAATATTGGTTTATTAACGTAAACATAGTAGAAACCATATATCAGCTGATACAAACATTGTATTGAATTTGTTTATGTGCGAAGTATTTGGTGATCAGATTGAACTTGTGTTGTTTGTAATTTCATATTATTTGCGTTGTGTGTACGCTATAATAACTAATGAGTTTTTCTGCGTTATGCTGTTTTTATTTTCAACGTTCGCTACTTCTATAACAATTTTGTTCTTAATTAGTGAACCCTTTTGGTGATAGAGAGGAGTTTAGTAATCCAATATAAGCTTTTCTCATTCAAGCAAGTTTTTATTCAACCAATGTATTTTAGTTATGTTATAGACGATAACAAAAGAAGAGGTATATCTTTCTCAAATACTTACAGCAACAAATACTAGATACATTGGAACTGATTTTCAAAGCAGTACGAGTACCTAGCAAAAGTCAAGTTAAGTTAAATGATGATGGGCGTAGCCAGAAACTAAGGAGGGAATTGCTAATTTACTGATATAATAGAAATATTGTTTCTTTATTATAATTGTTTCTCAGAAAATTTATCACTTTATTTTATACCTTTATGGTCGTAAGAATCCTAATAATAATAGTAAAAACAATAGTAAGAAATAATAATAACTGCCAGAGTAGATTCTGCAAAATACGGTATGCAACTATCACTTATCTTATCTGTTGCAATTTCATGTAGCTTTCACTGAAGAAGCTACTGTGTTCGGGAGTCCTTAACCTATTAATAATGGAAAATATTATAAATAAAATCCTTTTTTATTCGAGTTAAGTCAGGAAGTTTCTTCTGAGAAAAAAAACTAGATGTTAGAGCTACTTGAGCAGTGTTATCTCTTCTAATAATTATAACGTCTTATGTGTTTATGTGTTGCATATTTGCTTAGGATGATTTAGATCTCTTTAGTTCATTGAAACACATATTTGCATAAAATAACGGTATCTATATAATGTAGCGTAATCTACAGAGTTCCCATTACCGGTCAAGAAAAGTTTGTTTGTTTTCATTTAGAGCACATTTTTCTAAGAAGGATAAACATTCATTGCAGTTTGACAGCGGTTTTTGCTAGTAAAACAATACTGTTCGGTTAGTTGGCAGCTGCTTGCGAAAATGGATAAAAGTCTTCGAAGAAAATTTAAAATAAATGTTTCGCATTTTTCTCATAGATTTATGTACCGATGTCTGCAAAATAACTAAATTCATATTTTAAATAATAAAAGTATAAGTGAGTGTCAAAATAGCTTGAATAAAAAAAAATTAAATTTAAAGTGATTCAGATGTTTTCTGTAGTTATAAGGACCTAACGCCTATTTTCATCAGAGGAACTTACTAATGTAAAAAGAAACCCTTAAAAACTTTCCGAAAAGTAAACTTCGAATTCTTTGCTTAAAAAAACTTCTTTTATTTTGCGAATAAAATAGAAAAGTACAAAAGTAGTAAAAGAATAAAGTTTTTACAAAATTTCTAATTGGCATGCTTCAAATTTCCCACATTTTATAATTTACTATATACAATCAAAAGTTCCTTTCCTCATACTTAAAAAAGTAAATAACATCAGCAATTATTTGCACTTTGGTTATATACAAAACTTTAAATACAAATCTTACTATAAACACTTTGGCCTCGCCTCTTAAATCTACACATCCAGCTTTCAGCTGCAATTCCATACTTTCACTAAAAACCTAATAAATTACTAACTAGCAATAAAGTCATTATTTGCTCTGATCCTACTTATTTAAAGCCCAGACTCCCCAGCCACCAGTTTAGCATATTGCGCCTCGTCTAACAACGCATATGTGCCATTCTTTTGTAAGTAGAAAATAGGATCCGAAATTTTATGTATGTTGAAACCCTCTAACGTAAGATCACGTTTTTTCATTTTGAATGTGTCTGTTCGGGGAATATCATTCATCAAACGAACAAAAAGTGGTTGCGCATAGTGTGGCAGGTTGGCACGTATACCTGACGAAAGCTGCTGCAGATCCACTCGACGTTTAGGATCTTCAATTGCTGCCATACCAGCCTTACCTTCTACATGAGGTATCTGTAATGACATGTACTAAGTAAATACCAAACTAGCTAAGTACTAAATAATGGATTACTTACATCAACCCCGTATACCACACAATCCTGTAGACCAACCACATTTGTAATAATAGCCTCCACTTCTGATGTAGCGACATTTTCGCCACGCCAACGGAATGTATCGCCCGTGCGATCTTTGAAATAGAAATAGCCCAATAAATCTGAAACTGCCATATCGCCTGAGTTGAAATAAAAATCGCCTTTAACAAAGACGTCTTTCAGTATCTTCTTCTGTGATGCTTCTTTATCCTCATAGCCATTAAATGCTGTACCCGCACGTTTGTGATCTATCATACCAATTAGTAGCCCTGTCTCTCCCGGTTTAGTTCGAATACAGTAGCCAGCTTTATTTCGTATAGGCTCTCCAGTTTCTTCATCGCACTTTATTGATTGTATTGGTAAAAATTTTCGTCCGAAGACCGGGACAAAGCCCATGGCGCCAACTTGGTTAACAACATTAGCTATTAACAATCAACAAAATAATTAATAACAATGACAAAATACATAATTTTTATTATTAGACCACTTACCTAAATTGGAATTGCCCTCTGTCGAACCGTAGAGCTCGCCAATTAGCGGTATCTGGAAACGGGACATAAATTGTTGCCAAATCTGCGGACGCAAGCCATTGCCGTACATTACGCGCATATTATGCATCGTGTCTTCAGGTTTTGGAGGCGCCGAAAGTAAATATCGACAAAGTTCTCCTATGTACTGAGCTGCAGTACAATCATATTTAATGCAGTCCTTCCAGAAATTAGAAACCGAAAACTTTTTTCGCAGAACAGATGTTGCACCGTGGATCAATGAAATGCCAGCAGCCACTATGCCGCCGGCAGTATGATAAAGTGGCAGCGGATTATATATGACATCAGTAGTACGTAAGTCTACCATAAAATACACAGCAGAGCACATATACAAATATCTAAATCGTTAAGAGATCAAATGAATTGATTAAAATTATGCGATATGATAAACAATAGCCCGAATTTTTGACTAAGGATAACATTTATGAATTATGCCTTATTTCACAAAATGGATCAAAAAGTGGATAATTTAAACAATTCGTTAATAAGTGAATCAGTAAATCGTTACACTCAAGGAGTAGAAATAGGAATAGTTTCAAGAGGGACTCCTAAAGCAATTTAAACTACAACTTAAGTGATATTTACTTTAAAGACCAATGAAATAAAGCGAACAGTTTTTAAAGTTCGTAGAAAACCCATTTGTCCATTTACATCTCTTATAAGAGTTGGAGAAAAATTCTTCTTCTCCATATGCAACCTTAAAGGAACAGGTGAGAGAGGTTTTTAATCGAAGGACACCTTAGAAAATTTGATAATAGTGAACATAAAATTCAACATTCTGACATTTAGTGATACGGCTGTCGTCACAAGTTTTGATAAGTATGGGGTGGTACATGACTTAGTTGTAATTCATTTAAGGCAGTTTTAATAGCGAAAATGATTTGTCCAAATCGTAAGACAAATTTCGGAAATTTTAAGAATTACCTAGAGTCTTGTAAGATAAGAACTTTTTTATTCAATTTTTGAATAATTCTTACCTTAGATTAGTTATCACAGCTGCTTTTGGCAAGCCGGTTGTACCTGAGGTATACACACATAATAACTTATCTGATAATCTACCGCTCTCAATATCGACGCTGAGATCCATAATTTTTTGTGCATCTAATTCCTTTGTTAAATTTGTAGCACCTTTAAAATATGAGACAAAAAAACTATTGAATTTAAAAAAATATGTACTCAAAAAAACTATACCTGGTAGAAACTCAAATTTTGCACTCTCCAATTGTTCATTGTCGCTATATTGATAGATGGGTAGGGGCGCTATATCATTATGGTGCAAAATGTCCTTTAAGCAACTAGCAAGCTCTGAACCGACAATAATAGCTTTAGCATTGGCAACTTTAATGGAATGCAACAATGTTTCTCCTTTTAAGCTGGAATTGATAAGAGCAACTTTCACACCAATCGCCGAAAGGCCCAACCATATGCAGATGTATTCAACACGAGTTTCCATAAGCAGCACAACGCAATCATTTCGTTGCAGGCCTATAGTCTTGAAGTAGCTGCCTACTTTATTCATAACATTTCCCAGGTATTGATAAGTGTAGGTGCGCTCGTCCATTATGAAGCAGGTCTTTGTTGGATTTTGTTTGACATTTTCCTGAAAGATGCGAGCTATAGTCCATCCCTTACGCTCCATCTTATTCATATAAAACAGCATTCGAACAAAACGATAGCCCGAACTATTAGTTATAAAAGAAATTAATAGAATCAGTACATTATAATATATGTTATACATGGCACTATACGTGTTATTATGTTACTTACATTACGTCTCTTTGCCAGGTTTTCGCAATGATGTACACCACTGTTGGGTGTCGCACCAAATAAATTGTTAGAAAAAAAAGAAACGCACGGAAGTATGCGTTTTGCCCCAGAAATGACATGACGAAGAAAGAAGTGAATACTGACATGAGAGTAGTGGTTTGCTTTTGCCTGGGGCTCAACTCCGTTTGAACGTTCATCTTGGTTGGAATGGGGTGTGAAGAGGTGCGGAGTAAGAGGAATGTGAAGATTGGAACTGTGAAAATCAGGTAATCAGGTTAACATGATAAAATATAATGGGTTTTAGAAAATAAAATAACTTTAATTATATTTAATTATAATTGTGAATATATATTAATATAAAGTCGTAATTATGTAGTCAGCGGTCAATCGTAATTTGACTTATAAAACAGATCATTAATTTTTTATTTTCAGTTTACAATTCAGTTTAAATGTATTTACAAGTGTAAACGCTTCTAAATCGCCCCTTGGGAACCCATAAAAAATCGATAATTGTAGTCTCGCGACGCATGCAAATACGAGAAAAGTAATTAAATACTTTTTTCTATTCCGGAAAAAAACGTGTTTTCCACTTCTAATTTAGAACATGAAATGCAAGCAAATCGGCGTCATTAATTTAATTTTTTTACAAATTCAATAGTAAAATTATTGTAAAATATTATTAAATGGTGACGACTCCCAGGCCTTTTAATTGAGGAATAAATTGAGCATTCGAATTACAATACGGTTTTATGGGGCCGATTAGACTTGATTGATATGTGATATAGAAGTATTGAATGAATCGATTTGTGCTTTGGCGTGTTGTAAACATAGGGCTAATTTAATTATAAATGCCGACGATTAACATTCATATATGCCAATTGGTTCTGTAGATATGAAGCCAAAAGCAATGAAATACTGAATGCAGCAAGCCGACAGACAGTTGACGTCACTTGAATGAGTTCTATAAACTTTTCGAAAAAAATTAATGCTTTTCTTATCAAAATATGAGCTCTGCGATTACTTTTTCATTGTTTCACATTCAAAAGAGAGTGTTCGTCGATGTAGACTATATATTTGCGATATCGTTTCACACTCAGAGCTTGAGTCACTAAAAGATTAAAAATTAAAATCTATAGATAATGATGACTTGATATGAAAATGTTTTGTATTTCAATGGAGTTCCTCTAATTTTACATTTGTATATTTTGTATGCACTTTGGTTTGTTGACCTCGATTTAAATCAGATCCACTAAAAATCATTAAATGAATTCTCAAAATAGCTGCAGTCTTAAAGATAGTATTAATCGCATTAGAATAGTAGGTGTTAAATATTTCTATAGTAATTAGATGGAATCAATCTTTAGATGACAACCAGTCTATTATGTTATTGCTATCCCATCGTGCCTTGTAATATAACGAAGCTGACATCGCGCATTATAACGTAGCTGATAGCGTGTGGAGTTGGAAAAATCAACTGTTCAAAGTACTCAAGTGGGCATAAAGGAACCGTTGGATTTGCATAGATGCAGCTTACTACTAACTATATCCTCTGGTGAGAACAAATTCCCTGTTGACCAAATTGCATAGAACATGTTGCATAGAGCTTAATATATTCGCGTAGAATGTATAGAGTTGTAGTATAATTGAAATATCAATTAAATATTCGTTAACTAAAAATAGAAAGATATTGAAAACACCTATTCGCTATATTCTATATGTATGTATTCATTCATCCATAATACTGATGGTGATAACATAATATGTCACGTATCATTCTCAAACTCGTTATCATTTATAAATAAAGCACTGCAACATGATTAATTATCGATATTCGAATTCTGTATACAAATTGTCTGTTGAAAAAATAGAAAAAAAATTTTGCGGACTTTAGACTTTATATATATATTTTATCAGCTAATAATTAAACTACAGTGAAAAAAATCAATGTTTCAAATTACATTGTTTTGCCATAGAAATTGCGGATTCATTTGAGTTTATATAAAATTACTGTCTCGTTTAGAAAATTTTTATTTTTTTAAATATTTTATATGTTAAAATTTTTTAAAATTGAAGTCATACAACAACAGCTACTCATACTATTGATTTTCATTCTAACTGAACTGATCTACTAGTTCTAAATGGGTTAACACATAAGATTTGCGTACTTTTCGCGCAAGTAACCACATTTGTGTTGCTTGATACGTCCATGCCTGACGAAGAGAACAAATGACGGACTTTGCCATTATTTCATCATCTATAGTACTTGTTTATACAGAGTGCCAATAAGTTTTGTATATAAAAAACCTTTAGTAAAAAACTTCCAATATAACTGAAATGATTAGTTCAAATAACTTAAGCCCATTAAATATACTTCAAGTTGATGTCTAGTAAGACATCGGGTTTGGAAATTATGGTAGTTCAAAACTTCTTTCATTACCATTTGAAAACAGATTAACCGAAGAAGGGGTTAAAGGGGTTCCAGAATAAAATAATTCGAAAAAATAGAGCTTATCTTAAGCACATAAGGAGGTTAAAAAATATTTAATCAAGTAATTTAAAATAAAATTTATTAGATAAGTTACCACATATACTCGTACAAGTATTATTTTAACAAAATTTTGTAAACAAACATGGCAAGCTTAAATGCGATGGAAAGCGATTAATTATTTATGACTTTTTCTATTTTGCATAATCAGCTTCTAGTACTTGAAACGGAATAAACTAATTTTTATATTTATTTGTTGAAGAATTCTTTAACTTGGTTATTATGGGAATGACTGATAGGCTAATGATAAGTTAAGAAAAAGTCACAAAGTCAATGTGAACAGTATTATTTGATCAGCTAAAAAACATAAAAAATTAACAGCTAATTTGTAAATTAACAGCCAGATAAATATTACATACTGAGAGACAGATATTGCCAGATCGATTCATCTCTTGAAAGCGTTTCTTCAAAGTGTGAAGAAACAGTGCGATCAAAAAGTACAGAGAATTCTTAGTTGTTCCAAAAGTACTTATTTGATTTTCTTTTATTCCAAAGAAGCCCACCCTTAGATATTATGTACTTATACCATCGTCGGTTCTAGTTTGAAAGAGCATTACAACGATGTTATATTTCCCAAGAAACATTTAGATAATCACTAAATTTTCGTATTCAAAACATTCGTAAAAGTAGTTTTGCTTAATCAGAGAGGTAGCTTAGTTTCTTAAGTAATCTCTCCGGCAGGATTCTTCTATTAGCAAACAGAATCTGTTTAATTTATCCCATTATACAAACTATGAACAATCCCATTTTCCATTGCCAGTGTCTATAAACAATTGGTATTCTCATATGGCTCTCATATGGCCTTATGTTGGAAAAAAATTACTGTATAGTCGATCAACCTTAACATGTTGAGGTACTCAACTAAACTGAAGAGTTTTTAAAGAAAAACAGAACAGTAAAATCTTTTCAGATTTGCGTATTTACGAATTCTGCTATATATTTCTGTATTTGGATTTCTAACAGAAACGAAGAACCCGGTTTATTATATTTAATATCTGCCAGCCATATGAAAAACCCTTAATATTAGTTATGTTGTATAGTTTTAATTACTATTCAGTTACCAACACATTTTTTTTTTCTTTTATTAATAAACAAAGACAATAATTGTTGGAACTTTAAGTCTTATTTTTGAGTTGTTAGGAAAATATTTATTTATGCCAAACGAACCGGCGACACATCAAAGCCTACGTAGAGCTCATGGCAAATCCGAAAAGGTCGTTAAATTAAAATTCAAAATCCGTTCCAAAATCAAAACTTGGTTCTCGCGAAGGCACGTTTCACATTACTTTTGGGTTTTAATTTTGTTTGAGCCAAAATTTTTAACTTTGAACTACTTTTGCTTTGAAAAATTATTAGTGCTTAATTAATGTCACAAAATATTTGGAAGAATTGAATCCAACAATTTATTTTCATTTTCTTTACTTCCTGATAGTTTTCATAGTACAGTTAATATAACTTAAAGTTTCAGAAAAATTTTATAGAACTGCATATTGGGACCCATTTTAAATTAAATTATCGACAAATACTCTTCTTAAGCTTCACATACTAGAGTTTTAAGTATTTTTTGCATTTCCTGTGTTAAATATTAAGATACTATTTTTTGTTTGAATATTTGCTCTCTTCAATCTGCCTTCGATTAAAACTTTTGCAGAAAATAGAACAGAAGAGTCAGTTAAAAGGTTATTAATCACCAACCAGCTGAATCAAAGAGCCTTCGTGCACAAGTGTATCAAAGAAAACCCGGAGTCTTTCTTTCGTTTCTGTCTGAATTTATCAAAAACACGGTTAAAATACTTTGGAGGTCATTTCATGGGGCTGAACTCCATCTCTAATGTTGGAGTTAACTATCTCTTAAAATTCGCAACTGACACACTTATCTGAAATAACTTTTATCTGGTATTTATCTGCTTATTTTCCTAAATTTTCCTTTCTAAAGATTATATATATTAAATATGCGATAAAATTACTTTAAAAACACTTTAATTTCAGTCATTATTGCTTTTTATTTTAAATATATTATATATATATTGCCCACGTCTTAACCCTTTGTGCCCTATAAATTCAATCACATAAGAACACTGCTTCATAGTGTTATGTTTGATTAAAATAAATTTGATTGCGATTCGTCTAACACTATTTATATTATTTATATATACAAGTATACGTGATTATATATAGATATATAAATATATTTGGTAAATATATGGCAATGAGCGATATCGTGTGTTTCAAATTTAGTATTTGTTTATGCAAGTCGCATAAGACTTTGTTCGCGTGATAGAAGTCAAGGTTCAGGAATGTTTTGATTGTCCAAACTTTTGGATTCGTGAAGTGTATATGCCGGCAACGAAAGAGGTGCTTAAGTGATTTGAAACTATTCTGTAAAAAATAAAAAGCGACGAATGCTAACAATCAGGTGAATGCAATATGAAGAACTGATGCTAGAAGAGGAAGTTACTATAACCATGTAACTAATACCAATAATATAGCAATAATAATCAAATAGCTAAATAACATATATTGGAGACAATTTCTTATATTTTGAGAAACAAATTCAGTGAATCTAGTTTAGATGTTATTAAGTTTCTTGTCCTATTTGGGATACTTTATGTTACCCCTAAACACCGTTTGCATAATTATTTTCCTACCATATATAACCATTATTGTCATAATGGTAATCCATTTTGGAAATTATAAGCCTGTAATTCCGAAATACCTCTACTTATTTAATGAACCTTTTTTTTTGTTTTTGAATTAAAACCTAAAGTTAATCTAAATAAGTGGTTGAGATTTTTTTTGGGTACCCTGAATAAATATTTGTAGTATGTAAAGAACAGACATAAAAAATGAAAAATCATCCACAAAATTCTAGATTATAAACTAGTTTGTAGGTTATCGATTGCTTTCTTCGCATTCCATTCCAGATCTAACTATCAGTGACTTTTTCATGAGGATAAAGCTAAACGGTCAAATCCTATTGACTTGAGCGATTGACCGTTTGACACAAATGGATGATACTTCAAATATACTTTAATAAGAAATAATATATTTTTTACTAAAATAACTATTTAAATCCAGGGACCAATCTTTGGAACTTTAAATATTTACTTACATTAAGTAGTCTTATCTGACGGATTCTTGCGACGAATCTGGTAGCGAAATATCGTTAGTTGAGGTACATGGAAGTTATCTAATAGCCTGCCAATGCAAGCAACCAAGTAATCATATTTTATAATATGAAAATACATTGTTATCAAGTTCTTTATCAATTATATTCCCTCTATTCTGTTGAATTAAAATGATCTACAATTCCAAAAAATTTTATTTTCCGAAGATAGAAAATTGATGGAAGCATATATAGTTGGTCCCAAATCAAATGGCAGAAGCACGCAATGTAGGGATCAGTAAAAAAGGAGAGATAAGATTAGAAGTGCTAATGAAGTAGATATAAGACCAGAATATAATGCAGATAATGCAATTGAAATATGATGATTAATTCAAATGGAAGAAATTATGATCATACTCGGTGGTGTTTAAAGTGATGAGTCTGTTAGTTAATTCTCTGTGATAGTCTGATATGAATTTAGTCTAAAAGGAAAATACTGATCGGTAATCTTCTATTTAAGTCTCATATAAAAAAATTCTCAACTATAGAGATTTTGGCTTTAGAATATTTTTTATCCGATTAGAGCCAGCAATTTGCGCAAAAGTTTTTCCGTTGAGGCTCTAATGCTCCGCTCCATTGTCTGTCGAGAACGCTCTCATTTGCTATTATATTCTAATCACCATAAGTAACACATGTATCTGGTAAACACAACAATCTATAAACAGAAAATTACATGCGACGGCAGATGAAAAACTTTAGTACGGTAATTATAGTCGTGTGGCGACCCATTATCTCATTTAGTGTAAATCGACGTTAATTTAGACTTGATTTAATATCAAAAAGAGAAAACCAATTGCAATTATTAATGAAAAAACTTCTCTGCTCTATGTTATGAATGTCATCGAAAGGGAGCAACTGGTGTTTCCAAGTTCAAGGGAGATTGGATCCATTCACACTAGAAGCCAAGAGCTGGACTTGCTGCCAGCACTTCTTCATTGATTTTTCACAATTTTTCATATATTATTTTCGCTATGATTCCACAATATTTTCTTTGCTATTATTTATATTATTAATCAACTTTTTCCCATCGTCAATACGCCAAGCAACGATTCACTTAAAAATTACATTTTCGCATTTCAATGCCAGAAAAAACAAAAACAACTTGTAATCGCGTACGAGCATGAAAAGTACACACCGCACTCCACCCCCCGCCCACCGCACCGCACCGCTTCGTGTTAATAGGCAATCGCATAGAATTCTTTGTATTTCTAATTTTTTCTAATCATTTTAATTACTTTTGTTAATTATTATGAATTTTTACCGGTTTTTGGTTATTGTAATTTATGCGTCGCAACAACTGAAGACAGCAATTTTATGTAATTTACAGAAGTTTATTACTAGTTTTATTTCTGTTCTAGTCACCAGCTGACCAAAGCCACCACAGCTCAACTGACGGCCATCCGAAATAGACTGAGCAAGAGCACCTACGCGTGGAAAGATTTTTGTACAAACACAACTGGTTCAGTTATCGCTAAATTACTCAGCGAACAAACAGCGGCGAAAGAGTAGTACAAAGTACAGTACGAAAATGCTTTACTCTTTGCCGTACCGTATCGGTTGTTGCTTGTGCTAAGTTGCTGCTTCGATCATTTATGGCGAATTCCTCTGCGGCGAAAATCATGTATCGTACGACACAAAATCATCAAAATCGCCAAAATTTAAAAGAATTAACACAATTTGTACCCTCTCTCCTCATTCCATGCAAATCTAAAAATGGGTCACATTTGATTAAACCCGTAAAGAATTAAAAAAGCAATAAATAGAAACATATGCAGTGGACTCTCGGTAAAATTAAAAATAAATTTTAAAGTTATTTGGTTACTTCGATTGATTTTAGAGACAACATTTTGGGATGTGTGCTATTTATACGTATACATATTTGATCGTTCGTTATTTAGTGGGCTTGTTATATCGGGTGTTCCTCAAAGCGAAAGTCGACTGTAAAAGAGAATAATAATTATTTATTTTCTGATAGATTTATATATTTGCATAATTGCTTCTAACAATATTATTATTTCTATTATTATTTCTATTATTTCTATTTGCGAATGAAGGTCTCAGTTGTTTCCGCAATCGTTGAAAATAATAAGATCATTAATTAAATAATAAGAAATAATAAAAATCACATAATAAATTATAAAGTTTGAGCCATCTTTATATATTTCTTAAATCTCATCTTTTGACAATATTGATGTTACCACATGGGTTAATGTTGTGTTTTTAAGAATTGCTTTTGAAGAAGCACATCGTTCAAAAACATGGCATAATGTAATAACTGTGGACGGTGACTATTGGACGGTGTGTATCCCTATCTGCAGTTTACGGACATTCATTACATTACATTATGTTTAAATAAGGTATTCCAAATGCGTTCGGTTATATATAGTTCCAGCATGCATATCTTCTTTGTTCACTTCGAACATTAAATATCATAATTGATATTTTTGTAATGCCCACAGCTTCCTTAAAAAGAAATCTTGTACTTTTGTAAACCACCTTTTTGTAAATTTTTGAATCACGTTATCATTTTTCTACTAAAGCCATGTCTTTCTTCAATTCTGGCTTCAATAAAAAATTCGGGTTCCTACTAGCCTTGAGAAAAGCTCAAAGTTTTAACAACCGAAGTATTTCAATTTTCGACAATTTTTCTACCAAGAATTTATAAGAATAATTTTCTAAATTTGTATGAGTATATAACTTAAGGGTTGACAATTAAATAGGAATCAAACAACACTTAAGTCCTTGACTATAATGTGTACCACTTGAACAGTACTGTACAGAAGCATCATCCCAGCAATGGATTAAAAAGAGGTTATTTGCTTCATTCTTTGAAACTTGTTTCGTGATTAAATAACCAAATCTTTTTTTTAACAGGATCAAACTGCTTTACAAGGACATACTTTTGTATGTACTTTATGTACATATATATAGAATGAAATAAGGAATGCACTTCATTAAATGTCAATAAATGAATGTTGAACAAAATGTATAAATAATTTATCACTCGGATTTCGGTTGAGTGTACTGCTTCCATCGTAAATTAGTTCTGTCAATCAAACTTCAATTATCATTTTTCGATCAAAATGCCAAATAGAGTCATTAATGGCTTCCGACACAAAACCAAATATGTAACTATGCGTTCTTCCTGTGATTTGTATCTACAAATTGTATCCGTAAATCGTGTTTCTGTATGCGCTACTGCGCTGCACACACACTTTCTGCCTTGACCACTGCTGTGCAATCAACAATTTTAATTAAAAATATCAAATTTTGACAACAATAAAATTTTAATTACCCACATTTCAGCATTTGCATGCGTTCAAGATAAATTATGTGCATTTATATGTCAGTAGTGGCTTTCAATAGGCCATTCTATCCACAGCGCCTCCGACTAAAGTGTCAAATTTCGATCGATTTGTGTTCTTGCGTTGGACACAATTGAAATAAATTATAATTTATTTATTGAAATGAACGAATCACTCAGATAATCTTCAACAAAATTTTTGCTTGAACATTTACATCGATTATTCTCTTTCCATAAGATTAAATTAACTATTCGTCCTTAGCTAGTTTCGGTCAAAAGTTCAAATTTTCGAATAATAATTATAAAAATAATTATTTGGGAAAGCATTTAGGCTCCAAATTTAATTCATCCAAACTCAAATTACAAGATGATTTGGACATATAACTTGAAAACTGGTTAATAAAACACTCAAGCGAATCCTTGAAAAATACTAAGATAGGTCCATCGCAATATGCAGGCTGCGAAATCAGTGGCGAATAGCATCCAAAAGTACAAAATCCAGATCATTGACCTTTGATATTAAAGAAAATATATAACTCCAATCCACACCGGGCTTTTGATAATGATGAACACAACTTCAGGACATACTCGTATTTGTTTTTTAGCAAAATAATAAATACCAGTAGTTTGTCACTGATTAGTAAAAATTAGCAGATATGTTAGTATGGTTGAAAATTCTAAATAAATTTCAATGAATCTATTTTCTTTGCATCACCATTCTTAAAGATTAATTTAATTTGACGTATTTATCAATCTTCATTGAATCTGCATTGAATCTGATAGGAAAATAAAAACCTGCAGCATCTTCATCAATAAAGAAAAGCTAGGTAGTATGGAATGACCAGCATAATAGAACCACATCATTCTAAATACCAAAACTATTCTAATATGCTTTTCTGAATAACGAGAGTTATTGCCCACAAGAGATCAACGATTCAGTTCCGAAACTGAAATCGTTAGACATCAAATCACGTATTTCTTCGAGAAAACAATGGAAAACACTCATACCATGGAGAAGAGAAGAACTGAATGGCTGTATAGACGGCTTTAACTTAATAAAAGAGTTGAAATTTTCTCGAGCAATCTGTGTTGTTCGAAATATCAATAGGCCAAACGTCTAAGCAAATGGCCCGGAAACTTGATGGAAAAAACTCAGAGCACTGCTTAGTTTGTCAAGAGAGGATATCTCTGAGATCATTATTAAAAAAATCTCAATCAATGGTTGCTCAGCAGAAATGGTCTCAGTCTAGAATTATTGTAATAGTTGTAGGAACGAAAAAAAAAAAGGTTTGATATTTCTTCTAAAGTTATCCAGTTCTAACTAGAAGTAGACTAACCACGTATGTTCTCACATTTCTATGTTACGAAATCGTCCAACGTTTAAATTGACTTATTGTGGCCTTCCTCTTAGTCTATCAGTTCAGGTAACAACTTGAACTGCAATATATTCTGTGAAACAATCATCACAGAAGTTCAGATAATGAAGAAGAAGCATAATGTGTCGCAGATATTTCTTTGGCAAATGATTTCTGCAACATACTTGTAAACTTTGGAACAATAATTTGACCGATTAAAGCCCACTGATTTACCCTACCATCTACTCAACTTCCGCACAACCTTCCGTGTTTTTATCGACGAATGTCAACAAAAAAAAAAAAAAAGAAAAAAATTAGAACAAAACGAATAAGAAAAAATTGAATTTTCATTTTTCTTACATCGCAGCGTTTCGATTCCCCGGTTGGGTTGGGTCGGGTCGGGTAGTGTCGTGTCGATAGCGACGCATTGTTGATATCCTCTTGATGAAGCACAAAGCGTTCACTTTTTGCACTACGTGTTGTTGTTGTTGTTGTTGTTCGCTTGGCTTGGCCCTGTTGTTGTTTCGTTGTTATGACGATGAACTGTAATTGACACATGTTACGAGCTCAAAAGCGCACACAGCGCACAAAGTGGCAACACTGACGGTGGTGATGATATGTTGGCATGTGTGTGGTATATGTATGTGTGCGTATGTGTGTGTGCGTTTTCATAACTCAAATGCAATTCAGCCCACATACGTACATCCACACATCTATACAAATAGATAAATAAAATATATTTACTCAAACGAGTACGTCAACATTTTCATTTTGTAGCTTCAAATGCAGTTACAGCAAATTTCACTTGCCTACAACAACAACTACAACTACAACAACACCAACAACAGAAACAATAGTAAAAGCAGAAACTCAAACGTCACTGATAACGTTAAATGCTTGTATGCTTGGCAGGCAGCACAGTTTGTTGTCCGTTGTGTAGGAGACGGAGGGGTATTAGGAATGGTTTATTACTGATATTGCCAGTTCCCAGTTCCCACTTCCCAGTTCCCTGGTTTCAGTTCCCAGTTGCTATTTGCCGTTTGCCACAAATTCTTTTGAGTCACGTGAGTTTGCCAGTATGTGGCGGCGGCAATATACCATGTTTATGTGTTTTGAGTTAGATGTGGAGTTGAGGGGCTAAGGGGCTAAGGGGCTAAGGGGCTGAGGGAATGGGCATATAAATATGCTTGCTATGTCATGTGGTTGAGTCTGTTTAGCAATTGTTTGTGTTGTCAACAAAAGTTTCTTTGAAATCAGAAACAGATGTTGATTGAAATGGAACAATTGTGAGTATTGTTGTTGTGGTAATTGTTGTTGTTGCTATTGCATATACTGTTGTTGTTAGTATTTGTTATTGTCGTTGCTGTTGCTGTTCCTGTTGCTGTTACTGTTGATTTTGGTGTTGGTGTTGCTGCTGATAATGGCACAGCTACTTAATAAATGATTTCTTTTTAAATTGCTCATTGGAAAAAATGTCCGCCTGTCGTATGAGTGATATTTTTTAATTATTGATTACACATAACTCATGTGTCAGTTACTGAAATCAATTAATTCTATTTGAAATAATGTCTTATATATAAATAAAATGAATTTCATTAGTTATGGAAAATATTTGAATTTTTTTACCTTCATCGGAAATCTTTGGTAATAATTGCACTTGTCAATTTACTTTTCTGTGAAACTAATTGTTCTTGTTCTTATTGTTTCTCTCGGAATAAAGCATTTTGCATTTTGCTTTTTGCAACTGACAACAACAAAACGTTTCGTATATAAAATATTCTGAAAGGATATCAAACGGACCAAAGTGTGCAATTGGCAATACCAATTGAAGCTGCTTGTGGTGTATGTTATGCGAAACGTGTTGACCCACGTGGATTATTGGAAATCATGTGCTTTCGGAATAAAATACTGCGACTTGCCGCATATTTATATAAATGTAAGCAATGTGAATAATATAAGAAATGGTTTATACACAGGCATAGGATTGTCATATCAATTTTAAATAAAAGTTGTAAGATAAGTACTAACCAGTCTCTACAATCTTAGATGTTAGATGGTAGACGTTATACCTTAAAATGTTTCAAGTTAAACAAAAATTTACAATTTCAATGACATAAATGACGACCTGGAAGTAATATATTTCTAAAAAAAAATATGTCTCATTAAAACTATGAAAATTGTCAAAAGAAATATTTTAATAAAACAAATATTTGTACATCATACTGTCATATAATTCTATTATGAAAATCTATTTAACATGATTCCTTAAAGGAATCAGGTAGTATATAGGAAATATACTACTGAAAATCTATTTAACATGATTCCTTTAAGGAATCAGGTAGTATATAGGAAATATCACTTAATATAAATCGTCGTTTCGCGTTAAATTTTTATCAAATGCGGAATAACTCAGTTCACTTCACCAGCGCATACAGTCAGTGCCAAACTGAGCACAAATACATTTATAAAAATGTACAAAAATCTAGTCCCATTCAACAGAGTCTAAAAATTGAGGTCTAAAAAGTGTCTGTAGTTGTAAAAATATACTTCTTCTAATAACAAATTATAGAACTCCTCAAAGGATATGTAGAATTTCACATAAAACAAGGTTGGCAAAAGTAGACTTGTTAAAATCACATTACACCACACATTATTCGTTCATTTAGAATTGCGACTTTTGTATTTAATTTCGAATAAATAATATTATCGTCATGATTTCCACATCCTTTTCGATATCCTTACAAGTTATCAATTTTGTTTGATTTTTAACAAAAAAAAACAACGATTTTCGACAACCACACCCGTTAATGGATTTTCAGATTGTGCCCACTGCGACATGTTCGCATTCAGATGCATAAGCCTCATGTATTTTTCCACAGAATCGGAAAGAAGATTGACAAAGTTTTATTTCTCGCATGTCGGACGCAAACCAAACACACCAACTACACCTGTCGCAGCAACACACAATTGCTTATCGCCTTTCACACACCAGCAATAGCAACAACAACAACAAGAAGAAGAAGATTATAATCCATTTATTGTATACGAGAATATTGCTAATGTCATTCCTCTTGGTAGGCAACAGATACACTACCATTTCCAGCTTTTGCCATTTCACTTGACCAATAACTTCTCAAACTTTGAAGCAAATATGTTGCCACCGGCTTGGCTGCTGTTGTTGTTGTTGCTGCTGCTGCTACTTTTCTCTAGCGTAAGGCACGTCTTTGTGGTTTTTCACCGCCGGCAACAACAACAGTAATTCTATTTCTGTTACTGCCACTATTAGATGTTGCGTTTCATACTGCCTCCCTCTTCTCACCTCTCCGAAGGACCCGAATTTTATTCAATTTTAAGCATTTGCGCTGCAACAACTTTATTGTTCTGTTGTTGACAACATTGTTTTACTACCTGAGTGATTCTGAACATGTTGGCATGTCCCCGCTCCTTACTTGCTCTTACTTCATTGCCTTGGAAATTTATCTGTTTGTATTGCAAATGTTTTTAACTCTTGAGTGAATATTCAAACGTTTTACATGCATTTATCGTATGTTATCGCCTCGAGTGCAGATAAACAGACGGACAAACAGGCGGAAGGATGGACGGACGAATGATTTCGAGCTCTTGTTTCTGCTAGTATCGTTGTCCTTTGTTCTGTAAAATATCCTTTTGCCGACGTGCTGGCTGTTCTTGTTGTTTCTGTTTTGTTTAAAATTTTTGTCATTTTTGTGGTTGGCATTGGCTGCTTTTTGCTCTCTCACCTTTGACCCCAAAGCGATTTGAGGAAAGTAATTTTTGCATAACAGTTCTTCATACGAATTCACAAGCAAAGGGTCTGGGATGCCATATCTGTGCGTATGCAAATGTGCGCATTAAGTATGCTGCATGTAATTACTTATCATGAATTGAACTGTGTATTAATGGGGAACCAGAAACTCCAATGGGAAACTGCGAAAATGCATTATTCTGCTCTCTGGCCGTGCAGGGGAATGAAATTACATTAATAATAAACGATTCTCGTTTTTGCAATTTCATTATTCATACGAATTTCAATGTAGCAGAAAGGTTATGCCCTGAAAGACACTTGTATGCAAAAGGCGGTTAAAGTTTTTATTTGAATTTAAAAATTTTAAACTGTTTTCTTATATTTTGCACATCAATTTGCATTTTCAAGATAAAATAATTTTTTGAGAAATATTGCATCTTTTTTTTTGTGCATTCATCTTAACAAATATCAATCCTCAAATTATAACCTTTATCTGATAGTTTCAGTATCACTATATACTATGATATATGTTATAGGGTACTAAAAAAAATTGTTGAACTAAGGACTAAAATATTTTACATTGATCATCGCAAAATCATGAAAATACAAATAAAGTTGTTCATTATAATTCTCAGTGCACCAGTGCTTCTATGATAAATGCGTTTCATTGCTCCCCATCTGATGCGACAATTATAGTTACGTATCAATCCGCGTTTGCCCAACCGATATAGATCTGAGAGCACGTTACAGATCTCTAGGAGCTGCTCATAACAGCAAAGCTGCTGAATTCGAATTCCAAACAAATTCATATACTAGGGAGTGGTTCTCAGGGCTAAGTTAGATGCACTGGTAATGATGCTAGAACGAATACGGAAACCTCATAGGGTTTACTTTGTACACAATTAGATCCATTTTCGCAAATGGATACAAATGGACTAAATACTTAACGGTAGTGACATCTCGCAGTTGCTCATAGATTATTTGTTATCTAACTAGTTAACATGTTTTGTATTAATAGTCTCATGTAGATTGATATAGATTAATATGTACATGGATACATATTTAGATATACAGTTATATATGCTAGATCTTGTAGGTTTTTAAAGCCATATCATTGAGGTATCAGGTAGTTTGAATTACATGATCATGTCGTGCGTATGTTGTATGTATCTATTATGTTGTATGTAACTAAAATTATACGGAATCGCCGGAAAACTTCTCACGGACTAGCGATATAAGAAACAGAGGGTTGCCAAAAATATGACCAATATAGATCGCTATAAGGAGTTTTAAGATTTCCGATCTACTCTTAATCTTTATACTTATCAATTAATAGCCTCCTTCATCACTTAATTGTTAAGCAGCCTTCATATCTTAATGCTACTCATCACAGGTCATTATATTGATTCAAACAAATGTTGATGTATGTCCATTGTGTAATAGTCCGCTTCTCTCAATTCTATAAATAGTATCTATGATTATTGCATTAACTTGTGCTTAAGATAACTTTTGATATAACATTAGACTCCTGTTCATAGGGGATCACATAAAAGAGTTACTCGAAATATTTATCTGAATTATTTTCTTAGAAGTGATTTCAACGCAAAGGAATTCTTCAAATGTTATTGAAAAAGCTTATTACTCCCTTTATATACCCTACTAAGTACTCGATTCTGATACTAAATACGAAATTTATCCGAATTTTTATTCTCCTTCCAGCTTCTGCTATTTCATAAAACTTCATTTTGAAATTGTGTGAGATTAGGGAATAAGAATTATTATGTTTGGATTTTTTAAATCTCAATAATTTGCATTTTGAAGAATATCGGAAAACCTCAACTGTTTATTAATGAAAACAGTTTTTATTAGTTTTAAACGTTTGATTTTATTTAATATTTTTAATATTAATTCAAAAGATAACATAAATTCATAGTACATACAATACATTCATATTTTCTATATTAAGATTTTAATAGTTATTTCAATTAAAATTAATAAATGTAATAATAATTAATACAATAAATAAATAAAAATTACAACTACTTTTCCACTTAAGTTAAAATTTTCAATGTATTCGATATTTTGTTGATTTTTAATTATTTTTTCAGTTTTTGTTTCATTAAAATTTTTGATAAATTTTTTTAAATTTTAATTTTTAGTGTTTAAGGGTGGCAACTTCCCTCACCCTTTCCACTTTTTGGTATAACTTTTATTTAAGCTTAAATTTTAATGTTATTTTTATAAGAAAATGTATTGAAACAGTTTAACACATCTATGAATGCATCATTCACCATTTGATAATAAATACAAATATTATTTTTACTGGTGTAAATTTTTTCTTTTAATTATATTTGAGCGTTGCTATTTTATTATTAATTTATTTTTAGTAATTTGACTAGCACAAGTATTTCTTCTTCGGTTTCATCATGCGAATACGTCATTTGGAGCCCACCCCATTGGGTACCAAGGAACTCGGTTGCGTAGCACTGTTTGAGGGCTGCGGTGGCGCTGCTTGCGTGGATTGTGGCTGCGAGGAAGTGGGTGGTGAGCGTGTAATTGTACCGCGAATGGTAGCAGAAAGTGGTATGACCTGTGAGGAGTGCTTTGTAGAGAGATCAGTGGAACGCGTGGTGCCACAAATCTGTTGGAAAAAAATTAGACCATTAGAAAATATATTTTTTTGTATTTTAATTAATGTTTAAGTGATGTCACCTAATGATTTTCGGTTCGATTTTGTACTTTCAATTAATTTATATAATTAAATAATAAAAATAAGATACTTACTTGGTGATGATGTTCCCAATCCTTGTGTTGACAGAAAGCACCACAATAGCGTGCCAAGTTGCAGCCGGAACACGTCTCTGTGGCTTTGCGCCCACAGTTCCAGCAGGCCTGTTAGATTGAATATTTAAAAATTTTTCTTTTTACTTACTTCAGTCAATGAACTCACATTTTGACTTGCGGTTATCGACGGCGATTTGTTGTCCAGCTCACGCTCACTGCCAGAATGACGACTCATTTCAACGAAAAATTTCTCCATGCGTAGACGCTCCTGTGCCATGACCTCAGCGGCACGAGTTTCTGCGGCTACAACTGCTCGTTGTATTTCGATAACAGCTTGACGTTTAACCTTCGAGATAATAATTGGTAGAATAACAGACTCATCTATTAACTCTTATCGTTCATGCAACTTACTTGATTTACTGCCTCTTCGGCATTACGCTTGAACTCAGCCACTTTCTCTTCGGTCTGTCTGCGTATTTCCATTAACGAAGCCGGTGTCATTTCGCCATAATTCGATTGCTGTGGTTCAACACCGCGTTGTTGTAAAATTGTGATGGCGCGCTTTGTTTTATCCACCATAGCGGAAATGCAATTTAACATAGTATGAATGTTTTTCCATTCCTCTTCACCACCAAGACTACCTCCACCACCACTACTCGAATTTCCACCAGAAGTGGGCAAATTTGAGCGTACAGCATGTCGTTGAGCCTCTGCAGCTATGGAGTTGCGTAAATCACGCTCATCACGATGATTATTCTAATTCATACGAGTGATAAAGAGATTGGAATACAATAAACAAGATATAGAAATATGGTATACACAAAAAATGATTTCAGTTGTTTTTTTTTTTCGTGACGGAATTTACTCATTTTTGAGAGAGACAGTATATAATTCACTTTCAGAAAAATAGGACACCATTACAACCTTTGAATTATATTCATGGATCCGTATTTTATTTCTACACCCCTGTTTTCTGTTAAGTTGAATTTTCTTGAACTTACCTTATCCATCAAACTGCTAAAATTGGTCTCAGACTGAGCCGCTGCACCACTGCTGGAATAGTCAAACAACGTGGGTTGCCCACCAAAAGCTATTCGCGCATCTGCTGGTGCTGCACTCAGCTGTGGATTATGTGCAAGTAAGCGTTTAGCTGGTGGATAAGCAGCCATGTAGTCACTCCAGTCTTGTACGCCGTTATGATGCTCCATAAGCGTATCCGAAGAGCGACGCTTAAAAACCAAACTCGTTGCTACACCATTTGAAGCAGCCTGTGCGGTTTCCAACTGCATAAAAATATCATTGTATTCCGAGCTGCCGCTATGAGTGGCATACTCCATGATGCAGTTTTCATTATTAGTGACATATTGCAGCGGAGTCTGCAAAATGTTACAAGGTTAACAACGCAAATGAATAGTAGCAGTGCAATGGCCTATAAACGTACCTGATTTGTGGCTCGAGCTAGTGCAGCAATTTCACGCTGAAGTAGAGATATATGATTCCTTAAGAGTGGAACAACATATGGACGCAAAGGAAGATTGATTACCTCCTGCAAAGCTGTGCGGAATTCCTCAATACTTATGCCTCCACTGCCCAAAGATAAAACCAAAGCTCGTACTCGTTCACTGGCTTCAGGATGGACTTCTTGCGCCAACTGTACTAGTGAACCCAAAAATTTACGTATCTTAGCCAATAAACGAGCCTGTTCAACATGTGCTGCCGCCACAGCTGCTGCGGCAACAACAGCTTGCGCTGCTTGCGGCGGTTGTGGTGGTGGCGGTGTGGTTGTCGCGCCATTTACTACTGGTGAAGCACTGGCATTACGATTTGGACGCGTTGGTGGTGCCAAGCTATTGTGATGAATTTGCGGCGACATGGGGGAACGTGGTGCAATAGCACGTGCACTTTCTGGAGAATCTGGTGTGCGACAATTACGTGAGCTGCTGCTATTCTGATTAGAATTTGAGCTTGAATTACTGCCGTTTGTGTTGGAGATTGCAGTGTCTTTAACTGCTGAAGAACTGCTATTAGCTGAAAAAGTAAGTAAAAAAAGAGAAATACAAGTAAGAATAGTAGCAAAAACACTCTTGGATTTACATTTAGTAAATTTGGAACACCTCTTCAGCCCTAAAACTAGTGCAAAATTTTGGTCACTTGTCATGTTCACATTATGTGCGTCCATTTAACAATTCTTCACACTTCCGCCCACAATTAACCGGGTAGGCAACGGTACAACCACATAGCAACGCTTAATATGAGATTTGTGTGCTCTACACTGTGTTTGACCAAAGGATATATGCATTCGTATGGTTGCACTGATATGGTCGGATAGTGCATGTGAAAGGATATGCTAACACAGCTGCCACATCATAAATGCATTAGTTGCTTATACTGACATTTTTGTTGTTATTGCTCTAGTCCACTTGTTGTTGTTGTTCGTGTTAGTGCTGATGTTGGTGGTGTTGCTGTGCTACATGAAGAAGGCATTTCGCTCGTTTGCTTAGTTTGGTCGCCTACAACAACTTAAAATCATTGACCAATTTAACCAAAAGTGCAAACATTGCAAGAGGACACACGCAAGCAACCAACACCATCAAAAGCAGCAGTGACATTACCACCAACGGCAACGACAATGGCAACAGCAAAGCACCAACTACACCAACTACACCAATAACAACAACAACTACATGAAAGACACAGATTTGCGAACATGGCAAATAAATTAGCAACATTTGGTATAAATCGCTTTTGTGCATTCAAACTTTTTTGGAATGGAAATTATTGTTGTTGCTGCTGTTGCTGCTGTTGTTGTCATTATGTACTTGTACTTGTCGCTATTGTTGCTGCCGCTGTTGTTGCTATCTTTGCTGTTGCTGTTGCTGTAGCTGTAGCTGTTGTTTGTGTTATTATTGCTAATGTTGCTGAAAGTGCAAACATGTGTTCCAACAATTGTTGCAAGTGCACTTGCACAAAAGTTGATGATGGCCCACATGTTCGGACATAAAAACTTTAAGAACTTGTTACTCGCATAAAATAACAAATTTTCGAAGATGGATGAATTGGCTGTTGACTGCATTCGGGATGATATGAGCAAAGAGGAAGTGAGAATAAAAGAGTACGGAAAAGAGTGCCATCACTAGCAATGAGGACGGTAATAACTACAGTAATTTGTTGTAAAAGTTAAGGCATCAAATACCTATAAAATATTATGTTGTCTACGAGAAAGTCTGTAAAGTTTGATAAGCATTGGATTGATGGGTGTAGATTCTTGCTGGCAACAGTTAACAACATTTTCTGTAGGCATTTAGCACACAGAATTTATCATAAAGAATAGTTGGTGATATAAAAGTAACATTGTACGGCTTGTAGGACTGCATTCACAGCAGTAAAGCTAAATATGCGAATAAAGGTTGCGATCTTGAAAATATGCTAAGCTATATTCATATTGATTTGTGATATTTTCTACAAAATAATCCAAAATTACCTACAACATTTCAAACAATGTTAACTCTTAATTTAAAAAAACGGATCGAGATTAAGGTCGGCTTGAGATTGTTTGACAGCTCTAAAATATCGTTTTAAATAAAATAATGATATTGAAGGATATTACAAGTTCGATTAAATAGCCTGCATAGATTGATCGGTACAGAAATACTGCTACTAGTAAGTTATTTTTGAAGAACAGTGTTATTCAAAAAACAAATATTTCTCTTCAAACGTACACATTTATCTGAGATTTAGGTTTGTGTGCTTGCAAATTATCTAAAAAAATTAAAGAATTTACACAGCTTACCAAGAGAGTACCTAACCAATGTGTATTTGAGAGATACACTCTTAGGTTGGAAGTTTCCTCTTATTAATATCGTAGAAGTTGCAAAAAGGAAAAAAAATAGTGGAACACCTTTCCTATAGCTGTCCTGCTCTAGTCAGAAGCGAGCAAACTTCTTAGGTAACTACGTCTTTAGCTCTCCCATGAATGTTAGTAATTTAGATTGATCGCCATAATAACCTTACTCCAACCGTTCAAAGTATCTAAGAATAATTGTGCCGATGCTAGCAAATAGAACAATTTGTGGAAAACTTTACTTGTCCCTTTTATAACAATTTTGAAATAAAGAAGTGTTTCTTGGCAAAAAAATTGAAAATGTTTTAACCAATGATGTTTAAAAAAATACTTTTATAAAATTTTAATAAATGTAGACTTATCATTTACACATCTCGTTTTATCGTCATGTTGACATTTCTTGATAACTTCAATAACAATTAAATCTTATCAGATTTTTTAAATAACAAAATAAAAGTATTAAAATTAATAGCCAAATTATACACACTCCCCCTCTTGTATTTGTAGTGGCACAAGTAAATTTTATTTAAGCAAAATAATGCATTCATGACGAACAATGGAAGGCTTGTATAATTCAAGGATGCTTCGTCCTTTTCTTATGTCACTTGGAATTGCAACACCAAATGCAGCGTCCTTACAAAGCAAATATACAAAAGTTGTAGTTAAAATTTTATTTTCAAATTTAAGCAGAAGTAACCAATGTATATTTTAAGGACTCTCATTAAACAACTTTAAATTGGATTAAAGCAGCTGAGGCATTTGACCACACACAAATAGTTAGGACCTCCGCACAGCGAGTGAGGCTTTCAGATTTGGACAGACAGTAGAGAAACCAGTAAAAGGGACTTTTAAATTGTGACACCAAAATAAATATAATCAGATATGCAGGATATGTAAAGGGTTATGATTGAGATTGCTATGGTTACAGAACCCTGCTTAAAACACAGAAACATGATCCATCATGTCAAATGAAATTTCACCACAAAATTGTGCAAATAATGCACAAACTTTTCTGTATGGTACAAACAATATACAGGGTAACTATGAGTATTAAAATGTACAGTGTAAGCTACAATCTAACTTTAGAAAAGAAGAATTTATAGAACACATCTAAAAATCTAGTAATTTCTTCAAACCGGCTTCATCGTAGTCCATTCGATATCGAATTTTAGTCAAATTGGTTATGTGCAGACTGTTTGTATTCAGCTAAATCCTGAACTGCAGTCAATCACAAAGAAAGCACACTTATGGTGTTGCAATTGATTAAGAGTGCGACCCATAGAAGACTTAATTTCAGGTTTAGCAATACTGACCGCGGATTACAAAGTATAAATTATAAGTATAAGCATTGTTCATTTTATAAATTCAAGCTAAAAATTATTCCAAGACACCCTGTATTGAACATGCATTAGTTTATTTGTGCTTATATAATGAGCAGTCGGAAGATTCTATCAGAGTTTCAAGACAATCTTCTGTATAAACAAATTAAAGAGGCGATAAAAGGAGTAAAAACAATTTCACCAGGAAAATAACAGAAATAAACATAATGCAAGGAACGATATGGAGTTGCACATACCCAAGAAAACAAGAAAGCGCACGCACGTGCATGATTACACAAATTTAAATATATATATGTGCTCTCATTGTCACATTCTTATCCATAAAAACCCAAACATTATACTCCTGGGTACTCAGAGCGTGGAGTATGTCAAAATGTGAAATGTAAACTTGCTTACGAGAAAAAGTGGCAAAGTAGAGAACTTACGACATACCCCAAGCGCACAAGCATGGTTGAATGGTTGGGAAAACACAGTTGCAGCTGTATCCACAATTATTATCGCAAAAGTAAACTGAGGGGATGTAAAGAAGCAAAGAATTTAAAAAAAGGATCTTTATAAAAAAAAAGTTTACTGCTCCAACAAAATAAATGTTGTCATTGAGGATGCCATCATTACCATCGAACTCAGCATCATTGTCGTTCTCATCGTCAATGGCATCATCAAACAAAAAAATTTCCATTAGCTTGTCCAAACAATGTGGAAAAATGATGGGATGTATTATGGATACGTAGTGGGAAAGTGCTACAGCTGCGTTGTGCAGCTCTTGGCTGTTATCTACCGCAGTGACATGGATGCTGCACAAGGAATGAGAAGAAACTGTGACCATTTCGAGATAAATTAAACTGAAAGAATTAAATTAAGATTATTTGATGAATGATATTTTAAGCTTAAAGTGCGTGAAGTGTGTAGAGTGGCAAGAGGTGACGAAGTTGTTGATGAAAGCAGATTGAGTGATGTACGCAAAGGTAATTCAATTGAATAGAGATGCAATTGTTTAGAAATATAACACATTAGCGCATTCAAATTGATGATATATATTAAAAAAATACTGAGGAAATTCTAAATTCTCCATAAATGGAAAATTTAAAACAATATAAAAAGAATTTCTGCTGTTATTGTTTACTATTTTTCGAAACCTCTCTAATAAATACATTAGTTTCTATTAAGTAAAATAGTCACTACGGTCATATCGACGTTAAAATCAAATTTAATGAAAAAATGCTATTCAAAAGCTTAAATTTTCAATGAAAAAGAACAAGTTTAGATATCAGAAGAAAGATGTGTTACGTGTAGATTTTGGACTTAGGAAGCTTTTAGATTAAGAAGGATTTATATTATATTCAAGGCGTGGCGTCGCATTACAGCAAAGATAGAGATTGAATAATATTAATAAATTCTGTTAAACAAGGTATATAAAAATAAGATGCCACAAATAATATGACAATAATAATATGTAAAGTCCTTAAACTATTCTAATATTTAATCCCAAAATAAATTTGTCCAAAGTATATTTGTAGTGTAAAAGGAGTAATTACTATTGTTTCTCAATTTTGTGTCCTGTAGGACATTTGTCTCTTTTTTTTGTTGTATATTTTAGCTCTTCGAACAGTACAAATAGCCATTTACATAAACTGTCATTGTTCACTTTGCTCTACAAACCGCAAATAAATTTTAAGATTTTTTAGAACTCCTTTTGGTTTGTTAAATAAAATTGAGCAAAGCATTATTTTTTCCAAATAAATAAAATCAGCAACAAAAAGTTTGCTAGCAACTTTTCCATAGCCGCAAAATCCATGGGTCAGCCAACAACATAGCTGCAACCATTCAAAACCCAAAATCTAAGCTAA